GAGGAGGAGGAGAGGGGAGGTTGTTGTGGGAATGTGTAACAGTTCTCTGAAAGAGAAGACATGCAATCGATGTGGCAACAAAGATAAACATTGCAACGGATGTAATGAAGAATGATGGTTGAATAGACAGGAATAGGTAGACATGCATGCCAAGGAAGATTCAGATGAAGGTTTCCTACCTCACGCCCGAACTTGACATGTTCTGAGCTGATATGATGAAAAAAGGATTCATCATCAACATTTGAGATGTCAAAGCTCTCGCAAAAAGATTTTGTCGCCTCTTTCATCGCTTCGATCTCCACGATCAGCTCGCACAATTTTTGTCTGGAGATGTCATCAGAAAGAAGCAAGACAACAACACAAACAAGACCTTGTGGATATGATATCAACCATCCTCTTGGCATGTACAAACTGCCTTTGAGCGATTGGAAGGTTCTTGTTGCGATCTCCCAAGATTGCAGCTTCTAGGACTTGAACAACAACAAACGGATTGTCTGCAAACTCAACTCTCTGGATCCAGCTCTTGGTAGAACTCTCGACACAAGTTTTCAAAAGATCGCATGCTTCCTGCGTAACGTTCTTTGCCGCGCTGAGCCAGACTAATCCCGTACTGCAGCTGAAGAAAACGTCAGAGGAAGAGTGCAGGAAAGGGAGGAGGGAGAGGAGGAGGAGGGAGGAGGGAGAGGAGGAGGAGGGAGGAGGGAGAGGTTGAAGCGGAGGAAGAGTAAGGAGGTAGAGGAGGAAGGAAGTTGAGGAGGAAGGCGGAAGGAGGAAGGAGGAAGGAGGAAGGAGGAAGGAGGAAGGAGGAGGAAATTTGTACCTCAGTCCTGTCACGATGTCATCAGCAACATAGTCACAAACATCGAGGCAGGTGTGGACGCGGGACAGGGAGGAGCAGAGCTCTCCCAAGATATGATGAGAGACTGGTTGAGTAGACAAGATACGATGAACGTGCAGACTGGAGATGCGAGCTGTCATGGCCTGAGAGATTGTGAAGACAGGGAGGGGGAGGCCACTGGTTGAAAAGTCCGGGGAAAAGAGGGAGGAGAGTTGTTTGCTGTACAGCCTCTGATCGTTCCGAATGTTCACCATCAGGCCCTCAAGAAGCTCTGTCTTCTTCTTCAGTGTTGAGATCTGCAGGTTGTACGCTGATGTGATGAAGGGAGAGCTGAGACTGATGGGAACTTGTAAGTGTATCAGGTCAACGATCTTCTGAATGATCTCCCGCAAGTCGTCAACATCAACACAGTGATGGAACGTGTCGAGAAGAGCAACGATGAGGTTTAGTTTCGCTTCTTGGAACGCGAGCTCGCATGTGAAAGCGCTATGGAGGCACCTGACTTTGTCTGGCAAGCACTCTGTCTCTGCCATCCTGATGTAATGAGTTGCAATCAGCAGCAGTCTTGTCTCGAGCTTGTAGAACAAGTCGACAGTATCTTCGTAGATCACATCATACCCTTCCTTGTCATGACTGTGCACAACTCCATTCTCATCAACATGGAACTCGTGGTAGTCTGCAATCATCGTCCTCCACTCCTGCTGATCGAGATTGATGTCTTCGAACTTGTCGTTCTCCCATGATCGAAGCATCGCCGTCCAGGTTGCGAGTTGTTTCTGTATGATACCCATCACGTTAAGGATCGCTAGTATCCTCCTCCTGCTTCTCCTGATCACCAGGACCCTCAGGGAGTACAGAGCCTGACGAAGGGAGGGGAGGAGAGCGGAGTGGAAGAGTCGGGGAGGAGAGCAGGAGAGGAGAGAAGAGAAAGTAAGAGAGGAGAGGAGAGGAGAGTAGAAGAGGAGGCGAGACGAGAGCGGAAGGGAGAAGAAAAGAAAGATGTCAGAAAAACATCATACAACTTTCAGAGTCGTGTAAGAGCATGAGGGCAACAACGGAAACAGATCAGCCAAGTGAACAAGTAGTTATGAGGAATCTGAAGTGTGATGTGAAGAGATGGACAGAAGAGTTGAAATGAGAATGACAGAACTTCAACGCAAGAGAACAAAAGATGCATCAAAAGACAATTAAACAGAAAAACATTTCAAGTACCTTGAGGTACTCAGGATTGAGCTCGACGGAATTGCGGCCGAAAACCTTGAAAAGAGAAGCAGAAATAAGACAGGACAGGACAGGACAGGACAGGACAAGACAAGACAAGACAAGACAAGACAAGACAAGACAAGACGATACAAGACAAGAAAAGACAAGACGATACAAGACAAGACAAGACAAGGCACCAAAACATTCACCTCCATGTCTATTTGACTTTTGACGAAATGGGCAACGATGGGGTTCTTCAAACACTCATTCAACCTGGAAAGTCATTAACACAAACACGAGGAGGAAATTCATGAAGGATTTCAAACAGAAAGAACACAAATGTGACAATGACAGACCTGGAGTTGTGAGTTGCTGCAATCTGCTTCAACGCCGCACCCATAGCAGAAGGTTGGCTCAGGTTGAGAACAGCATAGAGAGGAGAATTGATGCGGATGTCAACATCGATTTCTTCTCCCACGTTCTTGATGTCTGCGCTGGTAGACGACCGCTGGAGGTAACTGAGTTGAGAATCTAAAACTCTGTGTGCCTGCTGTGCCTGTGAAGAAAGTGAAAGAGTGTCGTCACGAACTTGAATGTTTTAATCTCTCTTCGCACTGATCAACGTCTCTTTGACATCAGTGATGAACAGTCAATGATACAAGCGTCACAATGTGGAATTAGAACCAGGTTTCATCTTGATAGCCTCTCTTTCAGCTCGAGTCACAGATCATTGTCATCATACGTTACATCATCATCATCATCACTACCACCACCACCACCACCTCCTCCACCTCCTCCATCATCACTACCACCACCACCACCCCTCCTCCTCCATCATCAACATCATCATCATCACTACCACCACCTCCTCCTCCATCATCATCATCATCGTGCCTACTCTTGATATCACATCATCTACCTCGGAAACAGCTTCTGCCGCTTTTCTTCCGCCTTCACTCGCCATGTTTTGTTCACTCTGTTTGTCGCCAATCTCTTCTTCAGATGCTCAAAGACCAAGTTGGTGTTCTCCGTGTGACTGAGCACCAGGTTGTAAACGGATCTGTCAAACTTGTAACCGTCGTTGTCATCCGGCTTCTCCTCGATGTTCAGCTCCCCCCGCAGCACCTCCAGCTCGAACTTCAGCTGCCTGTCGTTGGCCGAGAGCTGGGGGACAAAGGAGGAGGCGGTGAACGAGGAGGAGGAGAAGGAGGAGGAGAAGACGACCAGGCTGTCTCTGCTGTCCTTACTGCTCTCGTTCTCTCGCGCCGTCAGCTCCTCCCTGTCCCTGCTCATGCTCGCCAACACTCTCCTCCTCCTCGCCGACCCCATGTGCTGTAGCTGCTTCAAGAAGCTCGTCATGCTCCACTGGGACCATGATCGTGCGATCATCGACTGCACGAGCGAGCAAGACGCGGAGAGCAGGGACTTGTCACCTCCTCCCTCCTCCAACGATTTGAGGTCCCTCTGACTCCTCTGCTGCTCCTCCAGCTCCACGTCCACCAGCTGCAGCCTGTCAGCAATGTGCTTCCTGACAGCCACAAAGTCGTCCGAGTTCCCGCAGATTCTCAGCTGCAGGTTCAGCTTGAGCTGAAAACATAGTCACACGGCAGCTGGAGGGGAGGCAGGAAGTGAGATGACCTGTGCGATGCGGAGGGAGGTGATACGTTGGCTGAGGTAGTTCAGCAGGAGAGCCGAGAAAGCGTCCTTGTCCTCGACCAGCAGGTCTTGGGTGTGCTGGAGGTGCTGCTGGCAGAGGGAGGGGACGGTCCACTCGTATCGGCACTGAATGTCATCGTCCTGAACGTTTACCTCCTACTTGTTGTGTCAGGAGAAGAGGAGAAGATGGAGGAGGAGGAAAAGGAGGAGCATGAGGAGGAGCATGAGGAGGAGGAGGAGGAGAAGAAGAT